GAATTCGTTGTACGACCAGAGAATTAATAGAGAGCTTTTTGATTTGTATTCGTTAACTTGTGGTCATAATCCAGTTTAGTTAAATTCGAATTAAATTCTGATAAGCATTTTTTAAAGCTTTATATGTAAGTGCGCGAATTATTAATGTAGTTTACATTACGTTCAATATATCACTCAAGATTTGATTTTCATATTTGCTTTCTTTTCGCATCTTATCTTATTATATTTTCTATAGTGTTTGTATTCTTGCTAGTCGAGATTCCTCGTCTTCGGCCACTCAAGCGGATCACAATAATTAAAACGGCAACCATGTACGCAATTACTATGCTATCTGAAAACTATGCTATCATAATTGCGCTAAAAGTAAAACAGCTGCTTACTTCATTTAATTAATAATAACAGAAAGATTGCATTTTTTCGTTAAAAATTTTCTAAATTTTAAATTATTCAGACTGAAAACGGGAACTGACTCTTCTACGTCATGTTTACCAATGTATGTATTTTATTTATTTTTAATAAATCTCTATACTTTCGTATAAAATTTCTTATTTTTTTAGGGGGATATGATTTATACCTTATATTTCTACTTGTGGAATTATTAATTATTATATATTGACTGGGAGGATAGTTTTAAAATTGTTTGATCAATATCACAATTGACGGTTTTGGGTTCAAAGGTTTAAAGGTGGCGACAAGAATTGACTGAAAATGCCATTTTTTGCCCACTTGTTGCAAGAGTTGTCCATGACACACTGGTGCAGCTCGAAATAGAAATTTTCAGCAGGCATGGCGCCTTCTGATTACCACTTGTGCAGTTGTCGGTGCGTATAATTAGCCTAAACTGAGCCATTGTTATTGTATTTGAAAGTTTGGTGATTTTTGACGCAGCTCAACTTATCATAATTTATTTAATTATTTAAAAATAGCAAAAAAAGAAAGGATGAATATATTCTAAAGAAAATAGTTTCCGAAATGTGTCCGTATTTTATTTTCTTAATCTACTATTTCATCTTTGTCTTCTTCTTCTAGCGTCACGATGTGCAAAAAGGAAAAATTGATAAGAATAATTCAGTAAAAATTAATTTATATTAAAAAATCAATAGCATGTTCCGTCCAATTGACGCAACGTCTTTCGCATATTTTACTTAATTAAAAATAATTATAATAATAATAATGACGAATTATGAATGATTTTTTAGTTTTATAAATAATATATAGAGTTTATTCAAATTTAGCCGAAATAAAGATTGAAGTGCACAATAAATAATAATAAGATATAATAAAAAAATAATAATTTCTCATATGATCGTACTTCCTCGTCAGAAGTAAATCGGTTGATGTTTATCATAAACTCCTTACACACGATTTATTATGTTGTTGTTATTAATTCTATGAGTTTTTTGAAACACTTAATTGTTTCATAAATCCCTTAAGATTTTCACACATTCATTCAATGTTTATTTCATTCATTTAATTTGAATGTAAACAAACATCACAAACAATCACACAATTATTTAGCTTAAATTAATATAAAAATAATAATTAAAGCTAGAAATCGAGCTTTTAACTGTTAACTTAACTAAATTAAACCACCGTATGACGTCGTTCACGTGCCTGCCTGTAGATAGGTAATAATTTTTGCTGCTGCAATGCCAAACTGTTCAAATATTGTTGCTTTAAAGCACTAATAGTAGCGATTTTACGATGTTTTGTAGTGCCGGCATAACTGTAATTAGGAATGGAAGATGGGAAAGTCGAAGTGGAAGCAGTGGCGGATGAAGATGCAGATGAATTTAAGACTTCCAAATCATCGTCCTGGGGTAGAGGTTTATGACGATCTTCTTCTACAGGAGTACCGTCCGGTCGTACGCGCACTACTGAAGGTCCTGTGAGATACGTTCTATGTTTTTCTTCCTCGCTTGGATTTGAATGTGCGCTACTATCGAATACATCTACTTGAGGATTATGTGACATACTTGGATAACCGTAACCATATGCTATATCCATATCCATGGCATATTGGTGTTGTTGTTCGTTATCAGTTTCGAATATGGGATTCTTAACGTGTTGTGTTTCTGAAGTGTCCGTATCCGCTGCATTTGCAGTATTGTTTTGGGGAATTTCATCGTTTAACACAAGCAATGTAGTCCCTGAGACGGTTGTCAAAGGTTTACGTGTCGTTATCAGTACAGAACTCGGATGATTTCGCATTATGGAAGACCATACTGCAATTGGGAAAAAAAAAATAGTATTTGATTGAAACATAAATCACATCAGATCTTACTCAATTCATTGGCTCCCCTTTGATAAGGATCGAAATTGTCTAATTGGTTGTCGGAGAAGGTTTGCAGCTTTTCGTAACCATAATTTAATAAATCACGCTTACATTGATTTACTGGTATCGAAGCTGTGGCTGCGGTTGCCTTACAGTGCACGCTCACTAATTGGGCAAATGTAGAATACAAATACGACATCTGTAAATGGAAGTGAAAAACGATGTTTTAATAAAAAAATAAGTAGAAAAATTATGTTTGGTTGTGAACGCATCTTTTATATCCTGAAAAATGAAAAAAAAAAATAAAAAGACTAACATTTTATTCTCTATAATATGAAGTGAATGCGGCTGATTTTTTCTATTTTTAAAATAAAAGCGTTTGCCGCACAGACGGGCGCTGTAGACGTGTCCTTCAAAAATTTTAGGCTCTTCCAAATTCTTCTGCAAATTTGTTGGCGAGAGAATGTTTGCCACAAATACGATGCAGTTGAGCGGGCGGACAGCTGGACAGACTTAGGTGCATTCCAAGTTTGAAACTAGCTAAGAGTTGGTATTCTTTACGAGTATAGGTATTGAAAAAAAAAGAAATTTATTTTTGATACACTATCATATTGGCTATGCATGGTCAATTGTTTCCAATTTTATACAGGTGCTACACCACCACTCAAATTTTTGTTCAATTACCTGCTATATTTTATAAGTACTGAGCAAAATAAACCAATTATTTATTCCATTTGTGAGACGCAGTACTATAGGTGTGCCCATCGATCGATCATTTTCAATCCCAACGTCCGTGCAAAAACTTCCAATTTTACTGCCAAATATGAAGTCGATAGCTTCACATTTGTGGCAGGGAACAGACATTGGACAGACGGACAGACGGATATGGTGAATTTGATATTGATTAGGAATATATATAATTTGCGATGTCTCTGAAGCTTCTTTCTAGGCATTGGAAATGTTTTAACAAAATAAATCTTCTTCTCATCCTTCGGTGATGGGTATAAAAAAAAAAAGTTTTGCTAAGCGAAAATTGGCTTATGCAGCTTAGGTAAATCAATCGAAAGTTGAAACTAAACAAGGAACTCATCAAGGATTTTAAAGTCTTTACATATCGAGGAATTGATTTGCGAACGTTTTTGAGAAGATGGAAGAATATCCTCTCATTCCTCGAGACTGGGTATAAAGCACATTCTCGACTTATGTTACCTAGAATTATAATGAAAACTATTCAATTTCTTAATTATTTTTAAAAGGTTCTCCGCAAATACTCTATGAGTAGTAATGTGAAAGACTACTTCTCGAAATGACGCTAATAATTAATGAAAAACATCTCTAAGATTCTCAGCAAAAATTCTCATTTCCATTTAAAATGCGTTGTTCGCAATTGAGTCATCTTTTACGCAAACATATTTATTTTATTTATAAAAACATTTCCAGTTTATTCTAATGAAAAAAGCAAATCATTTAATGATAAAATCGAAAAATGCATGTTACGCTTCGTTACCATAACAGACACGTTTTGAAAAAAAAAAAAAATAAATAAGGTGAAAAAAATCAGAGAAGGGGATTATATTCAGTTTAGGCCGACTTGTTTGTCTCCATCTTTCAAGATGGACAGAAGAAGAAATTCAAAGAAATGTATGCAAGTGATCCAGTAGATCCAGAATGGTCCAATACGGAGACTTCGATGGAGAAAAGCAACAAGCCATGAAGGAAAGTATAAAAAAAACCTTTTTTTATGTTTTCTTACGTAGAAAGCTGAAGAATAGGACGCTTTCGTTAAGCCCTCAGGGCTTACATTTGAACGCTTTTCGTTGCGTTCGTCTGCAAAAACTCTGGCATTAACTTTGAGAAGTTTATTAGGAGGATTGCGGAAGAGTTTTTTCGATTTCATTAGCGGAAGGGCATAAATATAGAACAGAAGATGATTTCGATTCTCGCGTTTATTATGGTAAACTTTACTTAGGGGAAACTTTCTCAACCTATTTTTTATGAAATGAAGAGAAGAGAAAAGTAGATGAAATATATGTGATATCGAATTTTCACAAACCAATCGATCTTAACAGGGTTGGCCAATTTCTGTGCGCATATTGTTGCTTACGATTACCTTAAGGTGATGGGGGACGACGGGACGGTAGACGGCAGAATGCAATACGCAAAGTATCTGTTTTCTGCAAATTTTCATTTTCTTTTTTGAATTTTAGGAACCCTCGAGTTCCAGCCTTATCGAGTATCAATCAAATAAAAAAAAATTACAAAAGGCCAGTATTATTGTTTGCGTAACAGAATCGTACTAGCCATGTTTCATATTTATTGTCCTGATGTCTGTCTGTCTACCTACTGGAATTAGTTAGAAAAAGTTTTGTGGACCTTTCTCTGTGAGCAAAACCGAACCAAAGGGCCGAGAGATAGTTAGGGATAGAAATAGATAGCTAGAGAAAGATAGAAAGAGGGAAAAAGACAGAGAGAGGAAAAAGAGAAAGAGATAGATAGATAAATAGATAGATATGTATATATATAGAGAGAGAGAGAGCGAGAGACAGAGGGAAAAAGAGAGACAGATAGAGATAGAGAGAGAGAGAGAGAGATAGATAAGTAGATAAATGGATAGATAGATAGATAGATAGATAGAGAGAGAGAGAGAGAGAGAGAGAGAGAGAGAGAGAGAGGGAGAGAGAGAGGGAGAGGTAGCGAGAAAGAGATAAAGAGAGAAAGAGAGAGAGACAGATGGAGATATATAGAGATAGATTCATAGAGATAGAGAGAAGGAAAAAGAGAGAGAGGGTTAACAATTTTAAATACAATCTTAAAGTTCGAGAGCTACTCTGTTGTCATTTCGTGTAATGAACTTTTCATTACAGGCTCGTAGGCGTGTATATTCTCTGTAATTACGCATTCAGCTAAGTTACGAAATCATATGTGTATGAGAGACCCCCGTATTGCGGTTATAAAGTATATAGCAAAACCTTTATATCTTCATGACAAAAAGATCTCATATTTTGTTGAAATTTAAAAATTAAAATATTAAATATTTTTTTTTTTTTTTTTCACAAAATATGCCATTTCCATCGGCAACACTTAAAAGTCTGTGAAAGAAATCACTTTTTTATCGCAAAAATGAAAAGTAATATTAAGCCTAGTGTAGCTCCCACATCAGTTAAACTTTATGAAAAGAAGTTAAGTAAATATAGGCTTGAAAAGCTACTGAACCATAAATATTGCACTTATAATAAATGAATGCAAGAAATGGAGTGTTGTTCACTGCTGTGTTATTGCATTAAAAACGCATACGTACGCTATGGAAGTTGATATGTGCTGGATACTTACCCACACACACACTCACTATATAATAATAATAATCATCATAGATTATGAAGTAACTTCTTAATGAAATAATAGCCAAGCAAAAACATAAAACATAACAGTTGGGTTAGGACGACTAACTCGGTTCCTACACCGCTCCGCCTGCATACAATTCTTCATTTGTTCTCTTGATAAATTAACTAAAGTTATACTTTGGAGGTAGCCTTGTGCAAGGAAGGCGGTTAAACGTTGAGTCACGTGGTCTAAATGTAAAAAAATTAATTTCCTTGCTTAAGATCTGATTACTTTTGGTCCATTTTGGTCATAAATTCTGTTGCTCACCTTACTTACTTTTCATAAGCTCTCTTGTATAGATTGATGAGCAAAAAATAGATCTTTGCGATCCAAATTGGGTGCAGTTCGATTTTATGTCAAATTATTGTTATGAACCAACTTTCGTTACACCTTCTTCCAAATAAAGTGTCACTTTCTCTCAGAAGTAGAGATGGAATTAAAAAATAATTTGATCGATCTAAACTTTTCATTTCAATTTAGTCTATTATTCGATCTTTGCAAAGTAAGACGTGACGTAGGGAGTTGTCGTAAAAATCGTCCGATCCCATCGATTTTCTATAATATTGACCATCGGGTCAAACCGTGCCAAAAAGCCAATATTCTATCAAATTAATTAAATCTACAATTTTTACAAGAAATTTTCCACGTGTACCAAATGGAACTTCTTTAGCAGGAAGAAAATTTTCAAATCCCTTTTTTTTCCATTGTGTTTCTAAAAATGTACTTCGATTACCCTTATTGAAGAACATTCTTGCTTCTCCAGTTTTTATGAAAATTCCATCTCAAGTCGAATTTTTTGCATAATTCTTCATTTTTATTGAAGAAGTCAGGGTATTTTTGTAAGACCGCTTATAAGGATAGCCAGAAGACTATTCTTGAAACAGCTTAAGCTTGTCTTCAGTATGTTAGATCATTCGCAAATAATTCAAGTAAGTTCCAAATTTCCCTCCCTCTCCTTAATGGCTGTGCTTTGCCTTGGCTTGGATTTCCCTGACTTTTTTTGGCTTTCTAAAGGGGACGATATGAAATCCTAATCTAGGCCAAGCATTGATATGGTTTTGTTGTATGCCATGCGAAGTACTTTGAAGGAGATTATTTTTTGTCTATACTTCTTAAACATTGCCGGTTTTTCTTCGTCTTTTAGGAGGCCGACATGAAGCCCTAATCCAGCATTTATATATTTGTGTTTTAAGCCAAGGGTGTAAGTACTTTGAAGGCGATTATTGTTTATCGACTTTTTATAAAACATTCCGGTTACTTTTTACACAGATTCAATATCAATTAATGCTGTAATACATTTTTCACGGTTTATTGAATTAGTTGTAAATAAAAATAGCATTTTTTTATTTTAATGCGCTGACGTCAACAGAATTATTCGTAGCTCTCTTAGAAGACCTGGGCAAATAATCCTATGAAGCGTTGACCTGAAATCTGCTATCGATTGTAAATTATTGACAATAATATGTAAAGCATTATTTCTCTGTTGAAGATTGTGAACATAAGTGCTTTTTAAATTTTTTTTTCTTTCTTGAAATGATCGTTTATTCGGGGAATGTCCCTTGTTCGTATACAAACACAAACACAAAGTAGACGGTGCCGCAGCCTGGTAAATGTTATGCTTTTACTAAACAGATACTCACTATAAGCTGCTGCTCGACGTCAATTGTAATCAAAGTCTACCGCATAGGGATTTGAACTCATGGTAAGCCGACTATGTAGTCGAACTCTATTACGCTAAACGGTTGCGCGAACATGATTGCTTCAATGTCGGGCTGGTAGGAGGACAAATTTTCGACTTATTATGTATATGAGTTTGCA